TTTTTGGGTTTCTGCGTTTCATATCAGGTTCCTTATAGATAAAGCCATTAAAAAAATTTCACTTGCGTTTTGTCTCTCTGTCTGTCTGTCTGTGTGTTCGTCCATAGTTTTTGTACGATATTTTACAAACTTCCAGGCATTGAAGTATATCAATTACTAAACTAAGACTTTTTGTTCCACCACTTTCTGATTTGGCCGCCATCTTGGCCTTGGCCGGCCTTTAAAAATTCAAAAAATGACCTTCCTTCCAATGACCTCTGTTCCCCCACCCAGACAACCGATTTCCATCTTTTGGGTATCGTTGGAAAGGTCTCGAGGCCAGCTATGAAATGGCACCTATTTCCAGTGTTTAAATCTTCCAATCAACTCGATAGAGCCTCCATAGATTGAATCGAAAGAGTTTTTCAAAAAAGACTCTTCCAAAAGAATCTTTGCAAAAATTTTCAATATTCTGTTCCAAATTACGGCTGTAAACTATATTCAAATAAAAGTAATAATAATTTTATATTTTAATACTACGAAGAAGAAAAAACAAAAACAAAATTATTGATTTTAAATTTTATTGAAATAATTGATTCCGTTCGATCCATATTTTGACAATCGTCGTGCACCGATTTGTGACATTTCACCATTCGCTGCAACTTCATGCCATACTTAGTATATGTACGATTGTCAAAATGATCGTTTTAATGAAATCAATTATTTCAATAAAATTTGAAATAAATCATTTTTTTTAGTTTTTTCTCTCCATTGTATTAGAATATAAAAAGAATTACATTGTTATCCCGAACTTTTCCGTACCGTTGGTCTGCGTTGTCCGTAGGTACTTTTGGTTATTTTTTGTGAATTTTCTTGAAAATATAATAATAAAAATAAAGTGAAAAATCGGTCACTTTAACTAAAACTTCGACAATTTTGTATGAGAGGTACCCGTAAATCGATTCTCATTGGCTTTAAACTGAGGTTTCATTTTTTGGAGAAAAAATAAGATTCTGAAAGTTTCATGTTGATCGCATTTGCAGAAGTTTGGTTTTTGGCCCTAAATTTTTTCCAAGAAAATGTCGACAAAGATTGAGGACAAAAAATCAAACTTCTGCAAATGCGATCAACATGAAACTTTCAGAATCTTATTTTTTCTCCAAAAAATGAAACCTCAGAAAGTTTGAAGCCAATCAAAATCGATTAACGGGTACCTCCCATTCAAAATTGTCCAAATCTCGGTAATTTTAGTCAAAATTTCAAAAATTTTGTATGGGAATCTTATTTTACTCTCAAAAAATGAAATTTCAGAAAGTTTGAAGCCAATCGGAGTCGATTTACAGGTACCTCCCATACAAAAGTGTCAATTTTTTGAGGTTTTTCTTAGGGCAAGTACCCCAGGGTCAAATCGAAAATGGCTCATCTTCGGAATTAAACTCAGTTTTTCGGATACAAAACTTTTGGCATTTCCAGATTTTGATTATCTCAATTATTTTTTGAGTTATCGTGTTAACAAACACCAACGACGACGACAACGACAACGACAACGACGGCACACGAACGGAAAAGTGTCTCAAAAAGTGTTTTCTACGCGTTTCATGAGTTTCTATGATGATCCAAGCTAATTTTGCGAAAAAAGTTTTCGGGACCAATTCCTATACTTTCCCTTGACACGTTGTGTACGGAAAAGTAATAAATCAAAACCTACCTTTTGAATATGGTTCACAGCCGTAATTTTTAACAGAATATTGAAATTTTTTGCAAAGATTCTTTTGAAAGAGTCTCTTTTGAAAAACTCTTTCGATTCAATCTATAGAGGCTCTATCGAGCGGATGGGAAAATTCAAACCCTGCCTATTTCAAGTTGAAAAAATTGAGTTGACATGGTCTTATGGGCGAAAAAACGGCCACATGGCCTTGCACAAATCGGCCATTTTTTCGAAAACGGCTTCGACGAATTTTTTCAAAATTCCCTTGATTTTAGCCCCAAATTGGAGCTCAAAGAACACCAAAAGTCGCTACTGAAGGAATTGAACTACGCATTTATATTGTAAATGTTCACTCATTTGCGTCCTTCTTTGACATATATAGCACATATCTGGTAAAATTCGTTTTTTCGGGCTATGGTCGTTAGAAATTGGAAAAACATGAAAAATCGCAAAAAAAAATTGACAAAACGTCATTTTTCTTGCGTAATTGCGATCGCTACGGCAGTTAAATATTGATAAAAATTAACTTACGTTGATATCATTGAAATTTCCCAACCTTAAACCCATGTATTGGGCATACAGTGCCCACTGCCCAAGACTAATATTCAACATATCTTTATTATTGTTCATCAATGAATAAAACAATTATGGTTTGATTCGTTGTATATTTGGCAACATAAATCGCGCTAACGTACTAATATACACACTACTTTAACACATATGCGCATAAACATGTGTGAGTCGCTGTGCGTGCATCGGTGCCAGTGTGCCCACTGCCCATACACATATTCCCATAGATTTTCTATAGAACTTGTTTTTACAACAAAGAAATAAGCTTCGTTGGAAAGATCTCGAAAAGTACATGTCATTTGTGGTATAAAACATCAAAATCGATCATCATTTGGTCAAGATATGACCATTTTATCAATTTTGACAGGAAAAATTCCAACGACCAAATCTTAGCCAAATGCCGGCCTATTTTGATCTTAAACACCAAAAATGACATCCACTTTTCAAGACCTTTTCAGCATAGGTTCTGATATTGGCGATTTAAGGAGGGCGTAATTTTGAAAATTTCGCAAAAACTTGAAGGGGTAATTTTTGAAAAATGGAAAAAATGTGGGAAATTTTGGGTAATTTCGAAAGAACGAAAAAATTTGGGGGTAGTTTAAAAAATTTGCTTGAAATTCAAGGGGAAAAAAACTTATTATTGACACTGAAACTATACGTTGGAGCATTGGTGAAGGCAATAAATTAATTTTTTCCAGCTTTTTTGGGTCGATTACATCAATTCCATTTTTGACCACTTTACAATCACTTTGAACAGGATGAAATAAACAAACACTTGAAACAAGTAGAAGGCATACTGCATTTTGAGTGCTCGAGCTGCTGTCTTTAGTATACTATTTGTATCTGAATATCATTCATTCAGAAAACTCGTACTTAAACACACAAATCTGAGGAAAAGCATAAAAATCAAAGTAATAAAGTTTATTCACTGGAGCATGAACTTTGCACTTTTTCGTTAAATTGAAATCAGCCAATTTAGCATTTAAATTTGGAAAGAATGACTCCTATAATTTTTCGTTGATTCGCCAATGCCAGCAAGTATGCAAAAATGTTCAGAGAAATGCAGAGTGGATTTCTATAGATAATTTTACTCAATCCAAAAATCGAAAAAATTTAGGGGTAAATGCTCAATCGAGGCTCGAGGGGAGGGTAAAACGTGATCTCCGTGCCCTAATCAGAACCTATGCTTTTGAGTGATATATGTAAATTTCTGATCCAACCACCCGTTCAAAATCGCTATCAGAAAATACTAATAATACGCTATCTACGGATAAAGTCGTCGCCCTGATAAACTGGGAGTGCATCTAGCGCTTCAGTACAACAACAAATATTTATATTTGTGCATCATTTGCTAGGTATTGGCGATATAGGCGGCGATATAGGTGGCGATATAGGTGGCGATATAGGTGGCGATATAGGTGGCGATATAGGTGGCGATATAGGTGGCGAATGAGTAGTATTTTCGGGCAATTGTATTACCCTTCGGTTCTATGGAATGGGACTTTGAACTAATTTTGTTGATTTTTTTCGGCATTTTGTTTTTCGAGTTTTCTTTCGGCATTTTGGATCCGGATTTTTTTTTCGGTGTTTTGCTGTTTCGGAATTTTTGTTTTCTTCATTTTGTGTGATTACCCAAAAATGTGCAAAACCAAATGACACTATAAAAATGTGCTGTACGTAGCATATCGCTTAAAGTACCGAAATGATTTTTTTAGATTGATATCACAAGTTTTGTGTTCGCTTTCGGCACGAGCTTTGACTTTGGGAAAGTTTTTTATTTGATAAAATTATTCAGCCAGCTTTTGGTGGTATCAAAAAATACAAATGCAAATTTATTTATGATACACATAATATTAGAAAACATAAAAAAGTTCTTCAGAATTTAAAAAATGAATTACAAACTGCATTTATAAGAACCTTTCGAGGCGGCGAGAAATCAAGCGGCATGCAGAACGAGAAAATCACGAATTGAAGAAAAAGACGAATACGGCAGACAGACGGACAAGTTTTGTTCAGTTTTATATATATAAATTGTTTACATTAGATCGTATGGTTAATCCAATAGGATTTTTTTGCTAAAAAATACCAAATGTATATAATACTCTCTGTATTAAAGTCAGTTATAGAAGTAAATCATTTTTGGGCCTTTTTGGAAAATTCCAGCTAACACACAAACACAGACGAAAAAAACCTTTGAATTATTTTAGACGTATTTCTTTGTTTGATTCAAAGGTTTTTTTCGTCTGTGAACAGATATAAGTTTAACAAAAATCTTTGACGCTCAATTTTGTTCAGTTTTTGACGAGGAATCGAGTGGTAGTTTCAGATTTTATTTCTGATGGGACGTTCCGAAAAATTGAGTTCGTTAAAAAAAGTAATGATGATCTTATTACTTTCATCGATTTTCTTGTTCAAAAAGCTGACCAACAGAAATAAATTTCTCAAAAATCCCCAAATCTTTTGGATAAGGAATCAAATGACAGCTTTAGTTTACATCTCTGATGAGCCATTTTGAAAAATTTACCTGGTTGAACATTTTAGGGGCTTACCTCGAAATCAAACCATTTTTGAGGTAATGTTCCATGACAGCTGCGCATGGTGGTGAAATAATTTCAATCAAGTTTTCTGAGAATAGAATGAAATCCCATCTTATGAGCAATAAAATGAAATTTGCAAAAATGCACATAAATGATTTACTTCTATAAAGTCAGTTTCTTTACTAATTTATTGGAATTATTTATAGATACCTGAAAATGGTTTAAGTCACTTATCAGAACGCCTGCTCTTGTTCCGGCATGACTACAAAAGTTCAAATATACTTCAACTGGTGAATTCGGCTTCAGATGTAGTGGATGAAACTCTTATTGAAATTGTTCTGACATCATCTCGTTAGTATATTTTTGAATTTATTTTTTTTAAATTATAATTTAAGGAACAACCGTACACCGATTGTATTTGAATGACAGCTACTGCAGCGGGGGCGCCCCCCCCCCCATTGGAGAAATACTTCTTAGCTGCAATATATGAATGGGCAAGCTGAATAATGAAACGTAATTCTTTTTGTAAAATGAAGAGCCCCTGAAATTTTTTTTTTCAGTAAAAGTGCCCCACAAAAATATTGTCTGAATAAATGACACGTGAATTTGTTTTCATGCAAAAATATTCATGTACCACTTTTACTGAAACAAATTTTACGAGGCGATTCAAATTGAACATTTTTCGTGGGGCGCTCTTTCATACAATATTTTTCGGTGACGTCACTCGTATTTATCACATAGTGCAAATTAAGTGATAAGGAACTCGAATTTCGATGTGGCGATAACACCGATGGATTGGGCACAAAAAATACTGTATTAGAATCGAAAAAAAATTTAAACATTTTTTTCGATTTTTGCCTGTGTTGGACCGTCTACATGGGAAGTTTGTATGAAAACCTCGGAGCGCCGCTGCTATTGCATTTATCCTGCCGTTTTCGAGATATTTCAATGCGTAAATATTTAATAATATTATCTTCAATTGCATTGGCCTATATGGAAGACAATCGAGCGCCGAAAACTTATGCTGTTTCGCTCACACTTATGTGCAATTTTTACTCGTATTACAAGCTGTTGTGTTACGAACAACAGAGCCGCTCGCTTCGTTCCTCTTGAAAATTTACGCGCAATAACACATCGGTCAATAAGTCCCGAGCCTAACCACCAAGTGGCAACACTAATGTCAAACCCATATCATTTTCGAAAACTACAACCTTTTTTAGGAATCCAGTCAAAATTTGAGCCAAATCCGACCATCAGTTCGCTAATTACAGCACTTTAAATGAAGCAATTTTCCAATTTTCCAAAATCATGGAAAAACTGCATTTCTCCTCTCGATTTGACACATGTATTCCAGAAGAAAAACGAGCAGGAGTACCAAACCCATACTATGATTAGTTTATGGCATCCTTAGGCTTTCGAAATCAATCATTAGATATGGAAGAATTGAATTTATGCATAGCCATAAGAGCGATTTTGTCGATAAGCCTCCAAATTGTTCAAAATATGTGGTTTTGGAAGAAATCATTGCCAAAATCCGTTAAGTGATATCGGAATTCTCAAATGTGATAGTTCATAGATTTGCTAAGGCCATAGGGCAACTAACTCAAGCTATAGTTACAACTTTGCATGGATATATGCATATGAAATACTCAATCGAAAAAGCCTTGCCGCGTTTTTGGATATGGAGTAGATAGAACAGTTTTTTGGGGATTCGAAGCCCGTTTGGAGCTGTATAAGTAAAATTTGAATAGGGTTTTGCCTTTATATATTAGAATTAATGTATTTTGAGTTCATTTGAATAGATTCGATCTATAAATTGCGGGTAGAAATCGCCAAAAACGGTTTGTAGCGACCAAGGTCGCAAAATATGAGTTCGGGCATTATTAGTGGATTTAGGTATAGAAAAATATTCGCGAACCAGTGGGAAAGATATAAAACAACATGAAAAGTCACTTATGCATCATTTTAGACCTATCCGAATGTCAAATCTTGATAAAACATAGCAAATTTGGCGAAGAAAACTATGTTGTTCAAATGCGAGTTTCATCCAGGTCAAAGAACTGTTTATATGGTGATATAATTGAACGAAATTGGTTTCAAACTGCTTCACTAACCATTGTATTTTTTAGGTCTGGTCATTCTCTGAACTCTCCACATGAATATACTTGAATACAATGCATCAGAAGAAAGTTATACCGTTTTAACGGCAAAATTGAAGCATTTTCGGGAGTCTTTCTCTCGTATAGCTGTAACTAGCAAACTGATGGTCGGATTTGGCTCAAATTTTGACTGGATTCCTAAAAAAGGTTGTAGTTTTCGAAAATGATATGGGTTTGACATTAGTGTTGCCACTTGGTGGTTAGGCTCGGGACTTATTGACCGATGTGTTAAATGTTGCACACATAAACAGGAATATGCACGTCTACAAGCGCGTCTTACGAGCGATTATGAATGAACGTATTGAGAAGAAGTGTCGCCAATGTGTTTGTATTGTATACAAACATAGCACACTCATTATTGTAAAGCACTCACTCAACACTACGTTCATCCATAATCGCTTGTAAAGCGAAACATGTTCAATCGTGTTCGTGTTTGTGTTTATGTGCAATGGTTTTCAAGAGAAACGAAGCGAGCGGCTCTGTTGTTCGTAACACAACAGCTTGTAATACGAGTAAAAATTGCACATAAGTGTGAGCGAAACAGCGTAAGTTTTCGGCGCTCGATTGCCTTCCATATAGGCCTATGCAATTGAAAATAATATTATTAAATATTTACGCATTGAAATACAGTACGCCTCCGCAAATTAGAAACCCGAGAATTAGAAAACCTCAGAAATTAGAAATGAATTTCAGGTTTGAAAATTTGTATGGAAAATTTCTAATTTCTGGGGTTCATTTCTAATTTACGGGGTTTCCGAATCATTTCATTCAAGACAAAGGGAAATTTACTTCATTTTTAATGAAAAAACGTAATGAAAGTCTTTTCCGTTTCGTTGAATAACTATATTAGCAGTTCAGCTTGAGATTTTCGACGTTTACCATGAAGTTAAAAATTAGGTCACGAAGTAATTCATTCCATATTGTCTGCGTCAATCATCAATCATTAACAAATCGAAACCGATTTGTTCCATCAGAGAATTTGCATATACAAAATTGTATATAGAATGCTAACGTTTTCTGTTTACTATCGTAAGATAGGCCATCATTTATTTCGGTTTGTTCAGGAGTAGTTTATCCAGTAAAATAAACTAACTATATATTTATAATCACTAAAATAACTGCTTATAAGCATGTATTTACATACGATACTTGATTGAACAGTGTTCAATATATCGTTTTCAATTAAGCAAATCATTCCCCCTATCAGTTTTTCATTTGATACACCGTTTTTGGATGAAATTGAAAAAACCTCAGATATTAGAAAACTCCGCAAATTGGAAATGGTCTCGGGACATTTCATTTCTAATTTGCGGGGGCGTACTGTATCTCGAAAACGGCTATATAAATCGGCAAAACGGACCGTGATGTCACTCCCAGCTGGTTTGATGGCCTAGAATGCAAATCCGGTGAAATTTCAGCTGATCCATAGATTCTCAGGATTTGACCAGGTTCCAGTGCTTCCTTTTTTATGTGTATCCGTGAAGTCATATTCCCTATGTTTTGTATGGAATTTTACCACAACGCAAAGAAATTGAAGTGCTGAACTTGGACAGGTGTCCAAATCCTGAGAATCCATGGATCAGCCCAAATTCGACCGTATTTGTATTCTAGGCTATCAAACCAGCCGTTTTCGAGTTATTTCCATATGTACATTTGGCCATAGAAGCCAATGCAATAGCAGCGGCGCTCCGAGGTTTTCATACAAACTTCCCATGTAGACGGTCCAACACAGGCAAAAATCGAAAAAAAAGTTTAAATTCTTTTTTTTCGATTCTAATACAGTATTTTTTATGCCTAATCCATTGGTGTTATTGCCACATCGAAACTCGTTCAATTTGAATCGGCTCGTAACATTTGTTTCAGTAAAAGTGGTACATTAATTTTTTTTGCATGAAAACAAATTCACGTGCCGTTCATTCAGACTATATTTTTGTGGGGCACTTTTAGTAAAAAAAAAATTTCAGAGGCTCTTCATTTTACAAAAGAATTACGTTTCGTTATTCCGCTTGCCCATTCATGTATGAATGCACACAAAAAAAAAATATTTATAAAAAAACACAGTAATATCAATCATAAATGGATTCACACGACAATTGGTGTAAAATATATTGGGTCTATAACTTAAAAACTGGAATTTCACGCCAATTGCCACCATTCGCAAATGCGTTGTCGGATTTCAATGGAATTGAGGTCATTTTAAAGTGTCATTCGTCAAGCTTTCAAAATCAGTCAAGAAAAGTTTCATATGTTGTGTACATCATATTTTTTCAACAATGGGATATTTTGAAAATCGGAGAAAGAAACAGCATTTGCGGGGGCCGCTTTTTTCACACGGAAAAAATATGAAAAAATGATTACACAGTGCAACACTAGTCAAAGGACCAAGACTTGGCATGGTGGAGGTGTTAGTACTACCATAGCATAGTAAAACCCCAGCTGGGTTTTGAAAGTTAATAGCGGTTTTCATTTTATCGGCCTAGGCAGTTTTTGGGATTCAGAGGAGGATTTTCCAGAGCTGACTTCTTCAGTTTTTGGTCAATAACGCATATTGGTGACAACATCTTACTGTCTTGAGCAAAATTGTAGTTGAAGGTCCAATGAACAATTGTTGTGAACAAACTATACCAAAAAAATCACATTTGGTGGGTGCTAGGGGACCAAATGTCCGAAAAAAGGTGGGTTTTTTCAGTTTTTTGACCATACCTCGCGCAGTATACATTCTTTTCACTTATTTACTTCGACAAAATTATAGCTAAAAGAAAAACAAACAACTCTTTAGTACATATTAACTCGAAAAAAATACATACAGTCCACTTTTTTGGCTCAAAATCAATTTTGGCTACCAAACAACACTTTTGGGCATTTTTTGAAGTCCTATAACTCCTCAACTGATAGAAATAGAGCAATGGTGTCTGAAGCAACTTAATTTTTCGAGTTATTATGTTCTAAAGAGTTGTTTGTTTTTCTTTTAGCTATAATTTTGTCGAAGAAAATAAGTGAAAAAAATGTATACTGCGCGAGGTATGGTCGAAAAACGGAAAAAAATCTACCTTTTTTCGGACATTTGGTCCCCTAGCACCCACCAAATGTGATTTTTTTGGTATAGTTTGTTCACAACAATTGTTCATTGGACCTTTAACTACAACTTTGCTCAAGACAGTAAGATGTTGTCACCAATACTAGATGATTTAT